TGGAATCAGAGCCCTCGATAACCTACAAGCTATTTTTTTTATATGACCCTCCCTACAGTCGAGGAAATATGATCATTGATGTTTAAGCGGATGTTCTTTTGACCTTGTGACAAGCAACAAGCAAACTATTTTTTTTCATATGACCCTCCTTTCACTCGAGGGAATTATTTTTAATATTGTTTACATGAAAATCGTTTCACTCATACCTTTAAAAATCAAATTTTATCACTTATTATCAATATTAATACAAATGAACAATGAAATATATCAGAACAAATGATTCCAATTATATTTACATATATTTTAACTACATTCAAAAATTTACACTATTTAAAATTTGGTTCATCTTCAATTTCTTATCCACGATTATCATTTTATATTACACGTCCATTTATTATCTCACTGAATTTATTAGAATTATATATTAATTTAGAATATTTTACTAATTATCTTTATCTATGTAATAAATGTTTTAATCAACTTCATACATTTTATGTTAATATTTTACGAATTCAATTTTCGAATCAAATAATTAATAATACAGTAAATTATTTTTGTTTTTGAATATCAAATTTTGTTTAAAAAAGAATTTTTCTTTTTTGTTTAGGAAAAATCATCTAAATTGAAATGTTTTTCACTTTCCTGTAATAATGATTATGATGAATTGATTTTACTATTTTTACATCGAATGTCGAATTTAGAAAAAAAACTTTATTTATATCTTATTATTTGTGGAAGCAAAAAAAAAATTTATTGATGGTAATGAAATCAAGATAAATATTCTTAATTATATGCTACAATTGAATATATTTATATTTAATATTCAATCATTTATTTATTTGAATTCTTAAATGAATTTATTATCAAATGAAGATATTCAAAAGACATTTAAAAAATTTTAAATCTAATAAAATTATTTCTTGTGTGTTAATTATTTTTCAAAAGCAAAAATAGGTCAATGTCATATTTATACATATCCATATCAATTAGAATATTATGATATGATAACAAATAATTTTTTAGATGGAATATTTAAATGTGTTCGTAAAATATTATTATTTGATGAATATCCATTTGAACATGAATTTATTTTTCAAATTTCAAAATCATTTCCATTTTTAGAAAAATTAACTATAATCAATCGAAAACGATAAAATAATAAAATATCTAAAAAAAATTTATCAATTATTCAATATCCTCATCTTAATAAACTTGATCTTACTGCAGTTCATATTGATTATGTTAAATAATTTTTATTTGATACTAAAACATGTTTACCAAATAATGCTTTTCTTTTAATTGATTATCAATTAATGAAAAAAGCAATATGAAATTTTAGAAGAAATACAACAGAAAATAATTGTGCTAAATTTAATTGTATTTTATTTTATGGAAAATTAATATTTCCTGAACATTTAAAAGATTATTTTCCTCATATAAATATATTAGAATTTATTCTTTAAAATAAAACTAATTAAAAGTAGATTGTTATTTTTTTCGAAGGACATAAATTGTTACAAATGAAAATGTGTTTATTTTCAGAAAAAAAGAGATCACATTCATTGAATGGAAATGATGTAAATAAAATCAATATATTTTTAAATAAATTCTCATTTTTGCAGTCAATATTGATAATTGAACATTCATATATCAAAGTCTACGATGTATTTAAACTGGACTTCAGCTTTTCAAAATCTACTACTTGATATA